GTTTTTCTTTGAGAAGGATTAAAGGCATACACCTAATTGTTAAATATTAGTTTTTAAAAAACTAGTCTGAGTCTGTCTTTATGGGCTCTGAGTGGTTTCACCTTTAGAAGCTTGTTTTAGGATCTTGTGCCAACCCAGTCCCTTCTCAGGCCTGTTCAGACTAGAATTATCTGGCAGGGGCAATGTCTTTTAAAAAAAATGTCTTCAGCAGGAACGTCCCAGAAAATGTTCACCTCAATCTTCAAGTTGGCTTGTGGAGCAATTTACTAAATAGAGAGATGTGAGAATCAAGTGACCATCAGCTGGTATAAATGTTTTTGGTCAATGTAGTCACAGGATCTCAGGTATGCAAGAGCTGGACGGGTTTCAACCACGTGCCCGGTTATGGTGATACCCTGGCTCAGTTGCTCTAACATAACATAACACAGAAGGAATCCAAGTTCATAAGAACACACTTTAATTAGACACCTGTATTTAAAAGGCTGATTTCTCCTCTAGCATAATTTCACCCTGTGGCGCACTGTGTATACATGGGTGCTTTTCTTCCCTGGCCTACAGTTAGAGTTAATTGGACTTTTTGTTCTTAACTGTGTGGGAGGCAGCTTTTTTTAAAAAAACAGCTTTATTGAAGTATAATTGATAAAGAACTGCACATATTTCACGTGGATAATTTCATGAGTTTGGATATATGCAAACACCTGTGATACCATCACCATAATCAAGGTAATGGATGTATTCAACACCGCTCAAAGTTTCATTTATCCCTTTGGTTTCATGTCTATGTTTGTGTATATGTTAAGAATCACTTAACATGAGATATACACTGTGGGTGGCAGTTTTTGTTCACTTCTAAAGTAAACTCTGACTTTGTTAGAATAGTAGACTGGCTTATGCTCTGTCAAATCCCTAAATATGATTATGGTAGAATTTGACTCTATTCCTGTTTAGTTACAGAAAGCTACTGGTGCATGAACAAAAATATGTGAAATACGATGGATGGGGGTTGGGGGGACATATGGGGCCAGACTTTGTGAGATTATAGAAAATCATGGAACTGGAAAGCATCTGGAAGTTCTTTTCCTCAAAGAAGCATAGATTATTTCACATTTGTGTTAAAAACAGTGAGTTAGACAATTTTGACTTGGTAAAGTTAGCATTCTGGCAATGCTGTGAAATTCTGTGAAATTGTTCATCTCTCTTCATTTACTTCCACATATAGTCCCCTGGGTCAAAATTTCTTTCTAAAAATGATAATTTCTAAACTTAGAGATGCTTTTTGGGGGCAAAATAGAATTGTCCAGGTAACCACTTTAAAAGACAGAGTAATTCTACTCTTCCTTCAGTAGAATGACGCACGAAGCAGCATTTCTTTCATTTCCAGTAGAACTTTGATGCGAATGCGATTTTTATCTTTCTCAGTGTAGCTTTAAACATCAATGGGTTTCTTTACTTCTTGGTTTGGGGTATAGGTTGCCCCTGTTCTAACGGTGTGGAGTGTAAGCTCTTCAAATTCTAGGTTAACATTTCAAGAAATGGTCTTTATCCGAGTTCAAAGCAGGCCTTCCAACAGCAGGTGGCAGGCTTAACTTTTAATAGTCTTTCCCTCCCTTTAAACTCTTTCTCATACCTCAAATAAATGGTCTTTAGCCAGAATGTATGGGAGTTTTTGTTTATTGTTGTTTTTGTTTTGTTTGTTTGCAGTGTGACTAGGACTTGAGCAGAAGTACCTTGGTTACAGTCCTACCACCCACCCTTGGGGCTTACTTGTCATCTTAATTGTTAGATAACAGAATTATATAACTCAGCATTTCTAGTTGGAACCTGCTTCTTTTCTTTCCTTTTATTTGTAAGCTGAAAATGTATTATTAGTTAATATTCTATGGTGTTGTATATTCTATATATTCTATTCTTTGTGTTTTTAATAAACTTAAAAACTGTATAGCACTGGTTAGTGGTTGACACTAATTTACAGAATAACCTTTAATAAAATTTTATGTACAGATTTTCCTATTTGTATTACCTAGATTAAATTTAAAACAAGGGATAAAAGACCACCTTAACTTTAGTACTAAGATTTGGAGAATAGATACCTTTGAGAATTAAAAATTTACCTTTTCTCATCTAAATGTACATTTCTCATCTAACTGTAAAGATTTATAAAAGATAATCTTTTGTATTTTGGCATTGAAACTGACCACACTAAACCCTTGCCTCACTTTAATTGTTAGCCTTATTCATAAAAGTAGAGTTATGAACAGTTAGTTTTAGTGGTTTATGAAATGTAAGTTTGTGTGTTCTATAAATGCTTTATTTTACATTGAGGATAAGACTTAGCCAAACCTATATAAACAGTCTTTTCCCCCACTGGTTTGTAGGCAGTGCCAAAATATACTTCATAGATGGGATTGGCCTTAACTTATTTAAAGAGAAAAAAAAGCAAGCAGTCAAAAAAACCCCTGCTTCACCTTGTAAATTCCACCCTTATCCTCCCGCCAAGAGCTAACCACACTGGTGAAGCACTATTATTATAACTTGGCAAGTGAGTTGCCTCTTAAAATTAGACATCTGTGATTAAATAGTTAAATCATTCCCTAGATATGTATATATTTAGAGCTCCCAGAAAGCTGGTTATCTTTTCTTATAGCTAACACATTTTTAAAAAGCTACTTTTCTCTTGGTGATAAATATGTGTGTGTCATACTGTGGTATAGCTGCATGTCCAATCAAATGGTCCTAGTTTCCAATTGACAGTAGCTTTATTAAATCTTTTCTAAGTGATAGCTGAAGCATTTTAAATTGAAGCAAAGTAGGATTCTAAGACGCGTACTTGGAGCAAAGTTGCATAGTCATTTACATTCTAGAATAATCCTAAAAGTAGGAAACAATAATTGGCCATGTGGTCATGTGCTAATAAAAGAACACCTTGTCCAAGATACCAGGCTTTTTCCTGTTTCAGTGCTTTTTGTTCTGACTCTTGCCTCTCCCTGTGGTGTCCTTTCCCACCCCAGGTATGTACATGATTCTTCTCCTCCTACTTCAGGAATCCACTCAAATGCCAGGCCCTCAGTAAGGCTTTCCCTAGCCACCCTATTGAAAACAGCATACCTCTTAACTGTTTCATTACTCTATGAAATGATCGTCCATATCTATGGAGGTTTTTTTCAGTCTTTTTCTACCCTTTCCTTAAATCTTAGACTTAAACTTCCGTGAGTGCAGGGATTTTATTCAGTGTTGCATTCCCAGTGCCTGGAATAAAGAAGTATTTCAGTAAGGTACTGAAAGGTACTTACTGAAGGTACTCAGTAAGTATTTCTGGGGTGGATAAATGAATAGTAAAGAGAACACCAATCCTGTGACTTATTCTGTTACCTGCATTGTATCTGGGAGGAAAGCTTGAAACTGACATACTAGTGGGCACCTGCTTTGAATATCTGTTATAATATGCATTTTTCTGTAATTTTCTTTGGTGTTTGAGATATTTAGTAAACACAACTGTATTATCCTCAGTTCGTAGCAGGAAAGAATTTTTTAACTGCAATTTACTTTACATATGTGCGTCATTGCTAGATTACCCAAGTTAAAGTGACAGGAAGCAACAAAAATGCTCCAAGCCATAATAAAATGGTAGATTGGTTTTTTGTTTGCTTGTTTGTTTCTCTCTTGTGTATATTTCCATTTTACTGCAAAACATACCAAATAATTGATTGTAGATTTTGCCACAAGGAATCATGTATGCTGTAGAAGTGAAGAGATATTCCACTTTTTTGTTTGCTGCTGGATCTCCAGCACCTAAGAAAATATGTGGCACTTTATTTAATGTCAGTCAGTCAGTATCTGTTGGATAAGTAAATAAATCTAGAGGTTGTTTAAAATTGCATACATGAGATTATTGTCAAAATGTCAATTCATGATCGAAAGAAAATGTGCATTTGAAATCTGATATCTTCTCTTTTCTTCCACAGAGCCCCTCCCCAGAAGGCAAAGGATCACCCAGCTGCTGGAAGGTATAGGTACCCTCAATGGCTCAGTAGCCAGTGTAGATCCTGTCTTTCGTAATCAGCAGCTACATCTGGCTACTGGGTCTCTGATGGCATCTTCTAGCTTCAGCTTCAGTGTCCTGAGAGAGATTATTGATCTCTTAATAATCTCTTTAATGATGAAAATAGTTCTTAATAATGAAAACTTTACCTTGAATCATACACACACACAGACACACTCACACACACACACACACAAAGAGAAAGAGAGAGACAGAGACAGAGAGGAGAGAGAGTCAAGTTCTAGGGTGTTAAGTCCAACATTATCAGCTGGGGCTTGGAAACCCTCAAGGTTTTATGAATGATGACATCTATTTGCTTTCAGTACTACAAGGGGGAGGAATCTGGATATTTATCCATGTTTTACCTCTTACCTCTTTTCGTTTTACCTCTTTTTTTCTCTTTCCTCCCTATGAAAGGTATCATTTGGATAGATCAATCTATTCATCTATCTACTTACCTACATACCCCTACCCATCCATCCATCCATCTATCCATCCTTCCATCCATCCATCCATCCACCCACCTACTCGCATACCTATCCAACCTTCCTTCCATCCAGCTTTTTCATCTCTTGACTTTTAGATAGCATTTTCAACATGATGTGGTGATTAAATAATGAAACTTGATGATATGATGGTTTAAGGAAATTTTATTGGTAGTAGGTAAGTGCCAGCATTTCTGACTGTTGGTTGTCTTTTCCTTCTGATAGAAAAGACAAATGCCAATTTTGAAATCTTGAATGCAGTAGGCAATTGTGTTGAAATACTATGTGAGAATTCCTTGCAAGCTGAACATCCAGGTCTGGGGCATGAACCTGGCATACAATGTAGATTTCTGTGTTCGTTAGGCAACAGCTACATTGTCTGCTGGGTTTCAGGCTACCTGGAAACATGTTCTCCATTGGCTGTCTCACCGATGCTTCACCTACTCCTATAATGTTTCTGAATAACTGTTTTCCAGGAGCTATAAACCAGTGGAGTTTATCATTGAATAGAGTGCAGAGAAAGCACCGCAAGAAAGCTGATCACCTCAGCAATGAACGATTTCAATATGATTTCATCCCAGTGGTCTCACACACCAGCCTAGTAAACCAGAGATAAGGTGTAATGTCGTCCTTCCTTCTCCCTGCCTCGACTGTCAAAGATTGACCACTTACATGTTGTTTACTTTTTGGCTTATTTCTGTTCATAATTATTATCAGAAGGCATAGCACCCACGAGCCTAATCATGCTGCCTTACAACCTTATTCCTCTTCATTTTGTCTTCTCACTTACCTGCAGAAACCCAGGTAATTATTTTTGTTCTGCCCTTACCACACAGCCTTGTAACTGTTATGAATGACCCTCAGTCTCACTGGAATCTGAATCACTCAGGAATTTAGGCAAACTGGATGTTTTAACCACTGTTCAGCTTTCTTATGGAATGACAGAGAACTTGTAAAGATAAAACACCAGTTTGCAGGAAGAAAGGAAGAGAATGGAACTTGCTTCTGGAAAATATGAGTTTTACAATGTGTTTTGTCTGTCTGCTCTCTTAAACTTAATCCTATAAACATTTTTTAAGAACTAGCCATTAAGACTGTTAAGTTCTCAATTATAAAGGAATAAAATGTTTTAAGGAGGATTTACTTGCCCTTGCTTATATGAACTGCATATTTTTAGTAGGAAATCATGTAATTTAAATTAGTATTGAATGTAGAAAATGGACATATAAAGAATACAAGAATGAATGTCTACATGTAATAATGGATGGTAGTGATATAATGCATTTTTGTCATCCCATGCTGAATTCAGTAAAAATAAAGCTAATGACTTGGAGCTTTTAAAATATTGTACTGTTCTCTGTGTGTGTCTTTTGGCTTCCTACTCACCAATCAGTTCTATTATCTATTCTGTACCTGAGCCACTGGCTTTTGTGGCCCAGGAAGAGAAAGTCATTTCACTCAAGATGTTTGACAGGCTTTGAAGGGTAATAAGTGGCTCTGTGCAACACGATTATGTTTAATAAATCGTAATTACCAACGGGACAGTTTCTCTTCTCCCATGCCCACTCATACTTTTTTTTTTTTTTAAGAGATGGGTTCTCATTCTGTCATTCAGGCTGGAGTGCACTTGTACTGAACTCCTGGGCTCAAGTGATCATCCCGTCTCAGCCTCCAAAAGTGCTGGGATTACAGGCTTGAACCACCATGCCCAGCCCTCCAGTCCTATACTTCTGATATTCTTTGAGTCCCTTTGCCTATCATTAAATGAGAAGGTGTTGACAGTGGTGCCAGGTGTGAAGAACTCCCTAATTCCATTGATAAGTTTACATTTACCTCTCAGGTACAAGTATTGGGTTGATCCTCAAAGCAAGATTGAATACTGTGATAATAAGAAAAATACATATTTGTTCTTCACCCTCAGTTCCTGGAAGAGAATGCCTAAAACTCTTGTAATTTTCTAACTAATAGAGTTGATATCATCTTTTGTTAAAATATTTGGTCTTCGTCCCCTGTTCCTGACACAAGAGCTTCTAAGATCCTTGGACTCTTGGGAGTGATGAGTGTCTTTTTGTGTGCTAACAAGATAATGAGATGACTTGGTTTAGTGGGGAGTAGAGGTGGTGGCAAGGTAGCTTCAGGATGAAGGCTGGTTGTCAGAAAGACCAAGGTATGATTAGAGGTTTGGAACTGTCAACATTCAACCCCACCCCTGACCTCTGACAACTGAATGGATCACTGTCATAGTCCATTCATGCTGGTATAACAAAGTACCTGAGACTGGGTAATTTATAAACAACAGTAGTTTGTTTTCTTACAGTTCTAGAGGCTGGGAAGTCCAAGGCCAAGGCTTTGGCACTCAGTGTTGGGTGAGGGCCGCCTTACTGCTTCGTCACATGACAAACGGGCAAAAAGAAGATGAATGCTGTGTCTTCACATAGGAGAAGAGAGAGGACCCACTCCGTCAAGCCCCTTTTTAAGAGCCCTCATCCCATCAGTGAGGCCTCTTCCCTTGTAGCCTAATCACCTCTTAAAGCCTGTACCTCTTAATACTATCACACTGATGACTAAGGTTCAACGTATGAATTTTGGAGGACACATTCAGACCATAGTGTCTGGCTCCTGGCCCCCCAAATTTATGTTCTTACGTATGAAATATATTCATTCCATCTCAGTAGCCCCAAAGATCTTAACTTGTTCCAGCATCAACTCAAAAGTCTAGAATCTCATCTAAATCAGATATGAGTGAGACTCAAGGTAAGGTTCATTCTGAGACAAATTGCTTCTGTGCTGTGAACCTATGAGGTCAAACAAGTTATATACTTCCAAGATACAACAGTGGAACAACCATAAGATAGACATTTCCATTCCAAAACAAAGCAATAGGAAATAAGGAAGGAATAACAGGTCCTAAGTAAGTGCTAAAACCAACAAGGTAAACAACATACAATCTTAAGGCTTGAGAATTATCTAGACACACTAGAGTGGAGGTTAAGCCCCCAAAACCATAGGGGGCCTCACTCCCATGGTTTTGTTGGGCATATCCCACACAGTACCTTGCAAGTTGCAGTTGGTTGTTTGCAGCTCTCCCAGGCTAGGATCACACTCCAGTGGCTCTGCAGTTCTGGAGTCTCAGAGGCAGTCCCAATCTTATGGCTACACTGGGCATTGCCCCACTGGGGACTCTTGTGGCACTATCCCTGTCTCAGTTCTCTGTATTGGTCCTGAGGCTCTCCAAGTCATCCATTGAAACCTACGTGGAATTAGTCATGCCTCCACAGCTCTTGCATTCTGTGTGTCTGGAGAGTTATAATGTGGACACTGGGGGTACTAGCCACACCTAGGCATACTTGCACCACGGCTGAGGTGGGTGAGGAATGCTACACTGAAGTAAATGGAGCAGAGATGAGGTATCACTGGACAGTGAACCCTGAGGTTCTTTGGTTACCCTAAGCCCCTAGTTTTAGTTATGTGCCCCAGGCCTTGGCACTCTGGGCTCCTCATGAGAAAGGCAGCACCAATAGTCTCTGATATGCCTTCAGGGTGTTTTTTGTTTTGTTTTTGAGACAAAGTCTCACTCTGTCACCCAGGCTGGAGGACAGTGGGACGATCTCAGCTCACTGCAACCTCCACCTCCCAGGTTCAAGTGGTTCTCCCACCTCACCCTCCCCAGCAGCTGGGATTACAGGCATGCACCACCACAGCCAGCTAATTTTTGTATTTTTAGTAGAGATGGGGTTTCACCGTGGTTAGGGTCACTTTTCATTGTCTTAAACGGTATATGACTGTCTTCTATCCATACTAATTTCCTTGCAAATGGTCACTTCACACCCCTGGTGTTTTCTTCTGAATGCTTTTGCACTTGGCCAGGCTGAGAATTTTCCAAATCTTTAAATTCTGCTTCCCCTTTGATTTTATTATTTATTGTTATTTGAGACAGGGTCTTGCTCTGTTGCCCAGGCTGGAGTGCAGTGGTGTGATTTCAGCTCTCTGCAGCCTTGACCACCCAAGCTTAAGTGATCCTCCCACCTCAGCTTCCCGAGTAGCTGGGACTACAGGCATGTGCCACCACACCTGGCTAATTTGTTTGTATTTTTGGTAGAGACAGGGTTTCACCATGTTACCCAGGCTGGTCTTGAACTCCTGAACTCAATGGATCCACCCACCTGGTCTCACAAAATGCTGGGATTACAGGCATGAGCCACCATGCCTGGCCACTCCTCTCATTTTAAATTCCATCTTTACTATATTTCTCTCTTCTTGCGTTTTACTATAAGCAGTTAAGCCATGCAGTACCCTGAACACCTTGCTCAAAGATTTCTTCTGCCAAATCCTAGTTCATCACTCTGCCCTCTGTAAAGTTATGCCTTCTGTAAAGTTCTGCCATAAAATTTCTTCCGTAAAATTCTGCCTTCTGTAAAGTTCTAGGAGGTGGGCAAAATTCTGTCACGTTCTTTGCCATTTTGCAATAAGGATGACTTTTCCTCTGGTTTCCAATAAGACACTCCTCATTTCTATATAATACTTCATCAGGATGGCCTTTACTATCCGTATATCTGCCAGCATTCTGATCATGATAACCTAGGTACTCTCAAAAAAAGCCTGTCTCTACAGCTTTCCTCTTCTGAGCCCCCACCAGAATCATCCTTAATGCTCTGTTCATGGCAATGTATGCTTTTTCTAGCCTGCAACTTCAAAATCTTCCAGCCTCTACCCACTACCCAGTTCCAAAGCTGTGTCCACATTTTTAGATATTTGTTATAGCAACACCCCAACTTTCTAGTACCAGTTTCTGTTTTAGTTCATTTGTCCTGCTATATCAAAGTGCCTGAGACTGGGTCATTTATAAAGAACAGAAATTTATTTTTCTCACAGTTCTTGAGGTTGGGAAGTCCAAGATCAAGGCACCAACATTTGGTGTCTGGTGAGGACCTTCTTGCTGTGTCCTAACATGATGGAAGGTGGAAGGGCAAAAGAGATGAACTATCCTTACATGGCAGAAGAGCAGAAGAGAAGACCCCACTCCCTCAAGTGCTTTTATAAGAGCCCTAATCCCATCCATGAGGACTCTGCCATTATGACTTAATCACTGCCTAAAAGCCCCACCTCTTAATATTACATTGGTGATTAAGTTTCAACATACAAATTTGGGGAGATGCAATCAGACCACAGCAATCACCAATGGCCAGTAATGTAATCAATTGTGTATGTAATAAAACTTCCATATAACCCCCAGAATTCCGAGGTTCTGATAGCTTCTGGGTTGGTGAACACATGGAGATATTAAGGGGATGGCATGCCAGGAGGCTGCATGGAAGCCCCTCATCCTTTCCCGCATACTTTGCCCTGTATATCTTTTCCATTTGGCTGTTCCTGACTTGTACCCTTTATAATAAACCATTAATATTGAGTAAATTTTTTTTCTGAGTTCTGTGCCCTGTTCTTGCAAATTATCTAACACAAGACGGGAGTAGTGGGAACACCTGATTAATAACCAGTCAGAAATACAAGTGGTTCAGAACTTGGAATTGACATTTGAAGTGGGGACAGTCTTATGAGTCCTTAACTTGTGCCATCTGACACTGATTCCTGTTAGATGGTGCCAGAATTAAATTGTAGGGCACTCAGCTGGTGTCAGAGAATTGGTTGGTGTGGGGGAAGAAACCTGCACATTTGATGTCAAAGTGTTAAGCATGAAAACAAGATGGAAAGGTGCAAATGACCAGGGACTTTTTTCTCACTTTTTCTCAACTGTTTTTTCTCTCATTCTGTAAGACCCATGAAGCAATGGACATTGGTTTGTTGGCTCTTGCTAGAAGAGGCACAACAACCTGACTATATTCTTTTAAAAAAACTTTTCATTTTGAAATAATTTCCAACTTCAACATAGTTGCAAAAATAATACAAAGGCAGCACTGGTGGGAGTTTAAAATGGTACAGCTGCTTTGGAAAAGTTTGGCAGTTCCTCAAATACTTAAATAGCATTACCAGATGATTAGGAAATTTCACGTCTATGTGTATACCGAAAAGAATTGAAAACAGGTACTCAAAGACATGTGCATGCATGTTCATAGTAGCACTATTCTTAATCACAATAACTGTAAGGCGGAAATGTCCATCAACTGATGAATGATAAAATGTGTTATGTCCACACAATGAACTATTACACAGTCTTAAGAGGAATGAAGTACTGATTCATGCTACAACATGGGTGAACCTCAAAAATACTATGCTAAGTGAATGAAGCCAGATACAAAAAGCCACATATTATGTATTTCCATTTATATGAAATATCCAGAATAGGCAATTCTATAGAGACAGTAGATAAGTAGTTGCTAGGCTTGGAGGT